CACATTATAAATCAGGTGTGGTAACATATAACTAATCCCAGCACTTGGGAGGTAGGGGGCAGAGCAGAGACTGGGGGATTGCTGCAAGTTTTTTTGGCCAGCTTGGGCTACAGTGTGGGACCCTGCCTCACCCCTCCACCCCCAAACTTTGAAACTGCATAACTATTATCTGCTTAACGCCCTGTCTGTCCTGCTGTCCCTGGCACCCACCATTCTCCTTTCTGTCTGTGACTCTGACTCTGGGGCCTCATGTGAGTGGATCTCACATATGGTCTTTTCCTTTTGTGACTGTTTCATTCAGTTCACTCAGCATAGTGACCCCAAGGTTCATCCCTGAAGTGGGTGTGGTGTCCCATACCTGTGACCCCAGCCCTTGGGAGTAGAGACACGAGGATTAGGAGTTCAAGGACAGCCTCAGCTACATATATAGAGAGTGAAAGGCTAGCCTGGGTTGCATGGGACTCTGTCTCAAAAACAAATATAGCATGTACCAGAATTTCTTTCTTTTTAAAAGCTGAATAAAGCCGGGCTGTGGTGGCGCACGCCTTTAATCCCAGCAGTCGTGAGGCAGAGGCAGGTGGATCTTTGTGAGTTTGAGGCCAGCCTGGTCTACAGAGTGAGTTCCAGGACAGGCTCTAAAGCTACACAGAGAAATCCTGTCTCGAAAAACAAAAAACAAACAAAAAGCTGATTAATGTTACGTGTGTGTGTTCCTGCACGTGCATGCACACGCATGCACACGCATGTGTATGTATTATACATATGTTGTCTATCCACTCATTCAGTAATGGATTCTTGGGTTTCTTCCATTTTTAGAGAATATGAATAATGCTGCTATGAATGAACTCCTTAGCTTATTTTTACAGAGGCAGTACATAGCCGCCCTCTCCCATGGTATATATGCACATGTGTATGTCAGTGTGTGCTCAATCAGATGTTAGAGGGTGATGTCAGATGTCTTCCTTATTTTTTGAGATGCAGTCTCATTGAGCTTGTCATTTTGCTGCAGCCATGCAAAACTTTTTAGGTGGGTGTTAGGGATTGAACTCAGATTCTCATGCTGAGTAAAGTACTCTGACCCATGGGGCCATCTCTCTAGCCCCTAAAATGCTGTTTTCAGAAAACCAGCCTTCAAGCTCTCCAGACCTCACTGCTTGTGTGGGTGTGTAAGCCCTGACACATTGCTAAACAGCCTGTGAAAAGCTTTCCTTAGTATCTGTCCACCAGTTGACGGAACTGGGGTGGGAAGTTTATTTGGTAAATATTGAACTATGGATGTGGCTTCTCACTCCTGTAATCCAACATTCCAGAGGCAAGAAACAGGAGGATGGCTTTGCCTTCCAGTCTGGGCTATAGTGTTAAATGCCGTCTCAAGAAAACCGTTACCCACCACAACATTTGATTGTTTTAATCAAATAAATAAGCAAGAACCCCCAAGCTAATAAAGAACTTCAGATAGCTGTTTATGTGTTAAAGGCTGCCTTTGAGGGGCATGTAGGGGTATTTATAAATGTAGATGTCTTTAGGATAAATGAATTTATGTTTGATGTTTTAATTATTAAGTGATATTTGGTGATGACAGTTTCCAGCTTCTTAGTCATACCATCTAATGCTCCCAAATTATTAATTGGATCTGATGACCTACATGGTGTATGTGTGAGTGTTGCAGAGGGAAACGATGCTGTCAGGTTTTAGGCACACACATGTAACCCAGAACATGGCAAACTGAGGTAAGAGGATCATGGTTTGATTCCAGCCTGGGAGAAAGCAGGCTGGAATCAAAGAGGCAAACCAAAACTAAAGAGGCAGGGTGGCAAGCAGGGCAGAAGCATCCAGATGTATGGATGTTGAAGGAAAATGTTTAGATTCCTTGAATCCTCTCTTAATTCAAGAAAATGTGGTCATACGTTCTTAGGGAAAACCCGGTTTTGCAGGTAGGCAGGAGGCATTCTTAGCAAACTCAAAGCAACACTGACTTTGTGGTGGGTGGTGAGATTGTAGACTCTGAGTCAGTGTTTCCGGAGCTTTACTGGTGTATTTGTGTAATAAAGATCTATGTGAGGGACCAGCTAATGCAGTGTGGTCAGATACCACTGGGCAAGCTTATTAGCAAATCCCCATGGTGTACATGCTCTTCTAGCTCAACCCACAGAAGCAAAGAAGTGCTAGAGGGTTTGAAAAGTTGCCCCCAGTGCCTGGCCTTTCTTGCCTCTTTCCGGGGACTGTCTAGAGCTGGTTGAATGATAAAGCATTTCAAGTAGACTTCAAGACTGACTAGCCACCACAGAACACAACTGCCTCTTTTGGAATTAATCTTTTAAATCTCGGTAAAGCTGAAGAAAAATCGAATAGTTGATATGCGAAGTTAACTTAGGGCTGGCAGAAGAGGGACTTGTCTTATTTTGTATTTGTTATGTAAGCTAAAATGAGTAAAAGCTTGGCTTCTCTGACATGGAAATACTTTATCACAAACATGACATAGACATTTGGCCAAGGTTATTTGGAAATATGACTGAGTCCATAGGGCACAGCCCCTTTCCTAAGAGCTTATCTTTTGCCAGTGGGTCAGACAAATAGAAGAAAATGAAAATAAGAAAGCAAAAACATGTGACAGACTGTTCTTTTTTAAACAGCTGTGTTCAGCCATAATTCACATTCAGACGATGTAGCCAGCTTTGTGATTTGTAGTTCACTCGACTGTACACTCCTGAACACATTTTGTCACCCTCAGAAGAAAACTAGACCTGTAGCAGTCGCTCCTTTACACCAGACAGCCATTGTTTACTTTCTGTTTGCACAGTTCTCCACTTGGGTGTTTAGATCAAATGGAATGTCATAATAGGTTGTCTTTTGTGACTATTAAAATGTTTATACTAGCCGGGCAGTGGTGGCTCACGCCTTTAATCCCAGCACTCTCGGGAGGCAGAGGCAGGTGGATCTCTGTGAGTTCGAGGCCAGCCAAAGCTACACAGAGAAACCCTGTCACGAAAAACCAAAAAAAAAAAAAAAAAATGTTTGTACCATTACTATTATTATTATTGTATGTGTGTATACAATGTGTATGTCAGGTGTGAGCGTGCCATGGTGTATGCGTGGAGGTCAGATTGGTTCTCTCCTTCCACCTTTACATGGGTAACAGGGTTGGAACTCAGGTTGCAGGCTTGCGTTGTAAGTGCCTTGGCCTATCGAGCCATCTTACTGGCCTGTGACTGTCTGTTTTCACTCAATGTAAGCCTCAGGAAGTAGTAGCTTGTGTCCGTAGTTCATTCATTTTGTTTCATGACTTTAAAATGTATTGTTGTGTGTACTAACCTGCCTATGTGGGGATGAGAGAACAGCTTCAGGGGGTTGATTCTTTTCTTCCACTGTGAGTTCCAAGGGCAGAATGCAGGTCATCAGGCTTGCCCATCAAGCTCTTTCCCTGCTAAGCCATCTCTCTGGCCTCATTCATTTTAATTATTGAATAACGTTCCATTCTGTGGTAGTTCACATTATCTGTATTTTGCTTGATGGACTTTGGGGTTGTTTCTTTTTCTACTTTATGCAAAATATATGGCTGTGAACATTCTGTCTGGGAGTTTTTGTGTGGATGCAGGTTTCTGTGTTTTTCTTAGACATGTATCTAGGAGTAGAATTGCTGGGTTGTATGATGACCCTGCTTAGCCTTTTTAGGAACTGTTTTCCCAAGTGACTGCCCCATTTCCATGCCAGTCATGTGCCTTCTGCACATCCTTGCCAACCTTTGTTTTTGTCTTGTTGATTATAGTTCTCTGAGTGGGTGTGAAGGGGCATCTCATTGCGGTTTGGTTTGTCTTTCTCTGGTGTCTAGTGCTGCTGCATGTCTTCCTGTGCTTACTGGACATTTTTGTACTTTTTTGGAGAATTTTCTATTCTGATACTTTGCCTGTTTGAAAATTGATTATTCATCATTTTTAATTATTGAAGTGTAAGTGTAAGACTTTTGTTGTTTGAGACAGTATTTCTACCCTAGGCTGGCCTCCACATTCTTATACATCTGAGGGTCTTCTTCATCTCCTGATCCTTCTGCCTCTACTTCCCCAGTGCTAGATTCCAGGTCTGCACCTCCATGTGCAGCTAAGAGTTCTCTACATATTCTATTGCAAGTCCGTTAGTATATAGGTACCATTGGCAAACTTCTTGTCAGTTCTCTGTGTGGTCTTTTCTCTGTCTGTCTGACCCCCATTCCTGCCCATATTGCTGAGAATCTAGGGATTTAACTTAGGCCTCCTGAGTTCTCTCCACTGAACTATAGCCCCAGTCCCTGCCTTGAATGCTCCTGTGCTTGGGGCTTTACTGCCAACTTAGCAGTATGAAGATTTCGTTTATGAACATAGAATGCCTTTCCATTTATTCAAGTCTTTAACTCTTTTCAACTGTGTTTTGGAGTTTTCAGTATACAAATCTTGAGTTTCTTTTCAATTTATTCTTAATTAAAAATTTTTGATGCTATTTTAAGTGCAATTATTTTTTAATTACATTTTCATATTTTCATTGCTGGTGGGTGTATAGAAACACAACTGGTGCTTCTATATTTGAAAGCATATTATATGCACACACACACACACACACACACACACACACACACACACACACACACACTGTTTGGTCTTTTCCTAGTGGGTCCTGTAGGACTTTTCTGTACATAAGGCGGAACCATCTGCAAATAGAGATCTCATGCCTGCCTTCCTTCCCAGTCTGAATGCCTGTGTTCGCCTTTCTTGCCTGACTGCCCTGACTAGACTGTCCAGAGCAGTGGTGAGTAGAGTGTGAGCAGTTAACATCCTTGTTCTGATGTTGGAAGTTAAGCGGTCTAGTCCCTCGCCATCAGGTGTGATGTTAGCTTTATTAGATTGAGAAAGCACCTTTCTGTTCTTAGGATATTTCTCATGAAACACTGTGGGATTTCTGTTAAATACTTTCCCCCAAATTATTCATTTCTTAAACATAATGGCTTTTCTTTTCTTACTTTTTATCTGCAGAAATTGACTTACATACCAAATGTGTGGTGGATGTCGAAGCAAACAAAGTTATTCTGAATCCTGTAAATACAAATCTTTCCAAAGGAGATGCCCGGTAAGTTAAGAAACATGTTCACTGAAATCATCAGTGGTTCCTGGACACACCTGGGGTGCTCTCTATAGATACATGGCTGCCTACCAGGAGGCTGTCCCCAGGCTGCAGATGACATTCTCTCTCTAGAGAATGTCAGGAGGTTTCAGACAGAGGTCTCGACAGTGGAAACTCAGAGAATTGTGAGCACTGTGGGCTGAAGTGATGGAAGCAGGCTTCAAGCAGGTGGTGCTGGCTGCAGGTCCAGGCAGGTGTGCAGCAGAGAGGGCAGAAAGGGAGCCTGGGCGCTGATTCCTTGGTGAGGAGGCTTCTCCTTAGGCCTGCCCAAATCCTGTCATCCTGTCAAGTGCTACTTTCTTGAAGGCTTCCTGCAGCCCTCAGGGGGTTGTCTCCTCTATATACGAGGAGGAGAGCTGGAGACCACCTGATTTAATTAGTGCACATTGCTAACTTGTAAAGGGACACCCTGATTCTGTCAGGCTGAGGACAGATATTTCAGCATCACTTGTGGATTCAGGCAAATGTATGAACAGAAGAAAAGAGGGAGGGGTGAATTGGGAAAGAACAAATGAGATTGTCTTTTTCTCAAAAAATGGAGTGAAATTAATTAGATCAACTAAGCTGGGCTCAGAATATAGAAACAGCAGGAAGCAGACAAGGAGATTTACCTTGTAGCCCAGGCTGGCCTTGAACTTACAGTTTTCTGCTTCCAGCTTCCTGAGTGCTGGCTTATAGGTGTATGCCACCACACCTGTTGCATGAAATCTAATAGGTCTTACAATAAAAAACCCAGAGCCAGATATTGGGGTAATGCTGAAAGAGCAGAGACAAAGGAACAAGCCACAGCTACTTCTCACCTCGCCAACTCCATAAATCCTCTGAATGTCTCTGAGTCCTCAGCCGTAAAGGGCTTCTGCCAAAAAGGCTTCAGTCGAAAAAGCTTTAGTTCCTGTCTCCTCATGCCTTATATACCTTTCTCTGCCCAGCCATATTACTTCCTTCCTCGTGCTGGAATGAAAGGCATGTATGCTTCCCAGGTACAGGTAGCAGAGGCATGAGATCTCAAGTACTGGGATTAAAGGTGTGTGCCACCACTGCCTGGCCCTGTTTCTCTCCTAGACTGAGTCAATCTCATTGTAGTCCAGGGTGACTTTGAACTCTTAGAGATCCAGACGAATCTCTGCCTCCCAAGTGCTAGGATTAAAGGTGTGCGCTACCACTGCCTGGCATCTATGTTTAATCTAGTGGCTTGTTCTGTTCTCTGATCTTCAGGCAAATTCTATTAGGGTACACACTATATCAGCACACACACCTATCTCTGGTTTGTAGTTTTGTTACGCAGTTTTTGAGAATTAGGAGCAGGAGGTGAATTAGGAGAAGTTGGCACTGTAGGAAGCAGGGTATAACAGGGAAGAAGGGTTTATGGGGATCATCTGTATGGCGACTTGGAGAAGTCGGGAGGGGGAGACTTTCTGCCCTGGTGCCCCATGCAAAGTAGATACTCTGTAAACATTGTGGATAGTGCAGCTTGTGGCACTTCATGGTGATCTTTTGATCTGAGTTCCAACAATCACTGGACTTGGGGCCAGAGATTCTGAATTGAATCTTCCTTAGCTGTCATGTAGCTAGCTAGTCCCCCCACTGCTCCTAGATAGGGCCTCACTTTGTAGTCAAAGCTAGCCTGGAACTCATAGAAATCCTTTTGCCTCAGCCTCCTGAGTGGTTAGATTATAGGTATGATCTGCCCTGCCTGGCTTATAGCTAGTTATTTTTAATTTATTTGAACCAAATCTCTATGATGCCAAATTTACCTGTTTCATAGAATAATTTTTTCCTTCAAAGATCAAATTAATGTTTGGTCAAACGTTTTGTAAAGTGCTTTGCAAATGTTTATTGTGCTGGTGGTAGAGATATTTCTTAAGTATCTCTAGTGATAAGGATTATGGGTTATGTTGTTAATGACATGTTAAGGGTACATATAGTCTTGTAAAACATGATACTGGCAGGCTGGGGAGGTAGCTCAGTTGGTAGAGTGCTTGCCTCACACACACAGGGCCCTGTGTTCAATGCCCAGCACCATATAAACCAGGCATGGTGGACACTGTAATCTTAGCACTCAGGAGGTGGAGGCAAAAGGATCAGAAATTTAAGGTTGTCTTTGGGCTCATAGTGAGTTAGAGGCTAGCCTGGGCTACAAAAGAGGCTGCTGGATTTCAGGCTGGCTAGTAAAATGCACCATGGCTCTGAGGGGCATTGCTTTTGGTTGATTTCACTTCTGGGCCTTGGAGTGGAGATGCCTTATTTGGACCCATGGGCAACTTTGCATAAATCTGAACGTAGTGACTGCACTCAGAATTCTGACTTTGCCTTCCCAAAGCATGGCAGCCCACCCTTGCTCCTTATTCATCAAGTGTTTCTGTTATCTGTTGTTACCTCAAAAGTACAGCACCTTAAAACATCGGCTACTAGTTTTTGTTTTGTGGTTTCTGTGGTTCAGGAGACCAGTCAGGGCACAGTAGGATGGCTTGCTCTGCTCCATGTTATGTGGGATATGACTGGAAGACTTGAAGACAGGGTTTGGAATCATCTGGAAAGGCCGTGGTCATCAGGCCGGGTAGTTCATATCCTCTGTTGAATGGTGGTGTCTCTGAGGATGTGTGCAGGACAGAACTTCATAATCTGGTGACTAGTTCCAAGCTGAGTGCCCCAAAGGAGACCATGCCAGGAGGAAGCGTATCTGCCTTGTGTGTCCATTGTGTGGGTCACACAGGTCAGTTCTGTCCCATTTTCCTACTCAACGCTAGTGTAAAGCTCTATAGTTTATTAGGTTTTTAGTGCATGTGTGTGTGTGCACATGCACATGCACGCGCACATGTACATGGAGATCAGAAGTCAGCAACCAACAGGAGTTGGTTCTCTCTTTCTTCCATGTGATTCCCAGGGATTGAACTCAGACTCGGTGGCAGGTGCTCTTACCCAATGAGCATCTCTGGTTTAGAGAAGGAAGCATTTTAGCCCTCGAACCTTAGGTTCTAAGGATAGCATTGATAAGGGGTGCAGTCTGTCAGATTGTGGGATGTAGCTGCCTGAGAAGGTGATTGAAATGGAGTGAGCACATAGAACTTAAAACAGTGTGCCTGTTCCTTGAGGTCCTCCAATCTTGGAGGTCTGTGAAAGAAGCAACACTTTCTGATTATATAGGTTATTTTGAATGTTTTTTTTCTCTCTGTACAGTAAGAATAGAAATTTGGATATTATTTACTGTTGTAGAATATGCTCCTATTAAAAGGTCCAAGAAGGATTAAATATAATTATATGTAATGGTTTTTGGTCAAGTAAAGTTAAGCAACTTGACTTTTGAGACAGGGTATCCCTATATAACTATGCTCCCAGGCTGGCCTTGAACTAGTTAGTAATCTTCCTGCCTCTTCTTTCAGAGTGCTGAGACTATAGGCATATGCCATCATGCCCAGCTTTGAAACATAGACTCTTAGAGAACAAATTTTCATTCAAGTATATACATGTACAGAGAAGTGCATAGCTTGTGGAGTTTTTATGAATTGGATCTCCTTCTACAACTGGTACCATGTAAAGGAAAAAAGCCAGTGGATTGCTCAGTCAGTAAGTGCTTGACACCAAGCCTGGTGACCTGAAACCCACTGTGGAAGGAGAGAACTGAATCCTGAAAGATGTCCTCTGACCCATGCAAGAGCAGTAAACAACATAACAATGAGAAAAAGAAACGGAACATTGCTAGTGTGCAAAAGACTACTCGATGAGACCTCCTTCTTGACCTCCCTCCCTTTCTTCCACAGCATCTCACTATTTCTGCCCTGGGACTTCATAGCTAGACCAGGCTGGCCTTGAACTTGTATCCCTCCCTCCCTCCCTTCCTTCTTTCATAATATCAAGTTGAAAGTGAAAATAGAAAATTCAAATGTAGGAGTCAGTTGCATATGCTAACTTCTTAAATTTGTAAAGAAATAGGGCCGGGTGGTGGTGGCGCACACCTTTAATCCCAACACTCAGGAGGCAGAGCCAGAAGGATCTCTGTGAGTTCAAGGCCAGCCTGGGCTATAGAGGGAGATCCAGGACAGGCACCAAAACTACACAGAGAAACCCTGTCTCAAAAAACAAACGAACAGCCGGGCGGTGGTGGCGCACGCCTTTAATCCCAGCACTCGGGAGGCAGAGCCAGGCGGATCTCTGTGAGTTCGAGGCCAGCCTGGGCTACCAAGTGAGTCCCAGGAAAGGCGCAAAGCTGCACAGAGAAACCCTGTCTCGAAAAACCAAAAAAAAAAACAAACAAAAAAACAAACAAACAAACAAACAAAAAGAATAATAAATAGGTCTTTAAAAAGGTGTGTGTGTGTGTGTGTGTGTGTGTGGTCAGAGGATAACTTTATGGGGTTGGTTCTCTCCTTCCTTTACAGGGGTTCAGAGGATCAAATTCAGGTCATCAGGCTTCTCAACAAGTGCTTTTACCTACTGAGTCATTTCACTGGCCCAGGATCTGAAAACTTTATTGAGTTTTCCCAAAGTTGATTGAACACTTAATGACTAATTTGCTTTCTCTTAACAAGACAGCTCCCTGGGCAGAAGAGTGAGCTCAGTCGGTAAGCGCTTGCCATGCAGTCCTGAAGACCTACATTCAGTCCTAAGAACCCACATAAAGAAACGGGGGTGGGGTGGTGTCACACATTTGTAATCCCAGCACTGGGGAGATGGCAATGGGCAGATCCTTGGGGCTTGCTGGACAGCTGGCCCAGCCTCCTTGTCAAGCTCCAAGTCAGGGAGAGGCCTTCTTCAAAACACAAGGTGGACACAATCTCAGAAAGCACCCAAGGTTGTCCTTTGACCTCTACATGCATATGCACCTGTACACACGTGTGTACACACACCAGACAGGACCTTTGATTTTGTGTTAGTGTCAACTGTGTAAGTATCTCAGCTTAATTTCCAATTTATTTTACTGAAAAAATAAAATAATTAAAATTGGCTGT